TCTCTCTTTAAAAAAAAAAATTAAGATATTCAGTATCACACACGTGTCTGGAAACGACAGTTTGAGTCAACCACTGTTTTTGGTAAACGCTCTGTTTCTAGAGGAAGAATTCGAGGTTTGCCCTGACTGCACGTCGCTGCACCGTCCAGGCAGAACGGTGGCTTTGGTGTCAGCTTCCTCGATAACTATTCACATTTTTTTTTAATCCATCACTGTCCTCAACCTGAGCTGGCTCTGCACTTCCACAAGATGATACATGAAAATTAAGTGAAACTTCTATTTTGATCTCAAGAGATGTAATTCCAGCCTGTTCTTTACCGTTGCACAGGAATCCACTGTGAAGAGGACATTGACGAGTGTTCTTCGAGCCCTTGTCGGAACGGCGGTACCTGTGAGAACTCGCCAGGGAACTACACTTGCCTTTGCCCATTGGACACCCTTCCTGGGGCACAGTACGGGGGAAGGGACTGTTCTGACATCCTCCTGGGCTGCACCGACCGCCCGTGTCTGCATCATGGGACGTGCATCCCTCACCTCCAAGACGGCCAGCACGGCTTCCGCTGCCTGTGTCCACCTGGCTACACCGGGTCACTGTGTGAAACTGTCACCACGCTTTCTTTTGAGGGCGATGGCTTCCTGTGGGTCACAAGTGACTCGGCCAAGGACTCAGGCTGTAACATAGCCCTCAGGTTTCAGACTGTCCAGCCAACAGCTCTTCTGCTTTTCCGAGGGGACAGGGACGGGTCCATGACACTGGAGTTGCTAAGTGGCTACGTTCACTTATCAGTTCAAGTCAGTAACCAGTCAGAGGTGGTCTTGCTCGTCTCCCATGACACCAGCGATGGAGAGTGGCATTCAGTGGAGGTGACGTTTGCAGAGGCTGTGACCCTTGCCTTACTGGACCCCTCCTGCAGGGGAACCTGCATCACCAGAGCTCCTTCTCCATTTGGAAGGGGTGGGTCGACATGTGCTTTCCAGAACTCCTTTCTGGGGGGTTTACCCGAGGGAACGACCCCCAGTGGTGTGGCTCTGCTGGACCTGGACGTCTCGACCGTACCACACACACCCTCGTTTATAGGTTGTCTCCAAGACATTCAGATGGGCTCGAATCTCATCACCGCGGAGAACGTCACACCCGGGGCCTCCCTGAACGTCGGGGCGGGCTGCGTGAGACAGGACCAGTGTGAAAGCCAGCCTTGTCAGCACAGAGGCCGCTGCTTCAACCTGTGGCTGAGTTACCGGTGTGATTGCTACAGGCCCTACCAGGGCCCCGACTGTCACGGAGGTGAGCGCGCCTGGGGACCCAGGAGGGCGGGGCCTCCGAGCAGGGCGGTGACCAGACAGCCAGCCTGGTCCTGCCCATCGTGAAGCAGAACGACCCCTCAGAACCCTGCGGCCGGCCGCCCGGTGCCTGGGAAAACGAGGAGGCTACTGACGGGGGTTCAGTAAACCTGAGTGGCCTCACAGGACACCAGGGTCTCGCTCCTGCAGAGAAGCGAAAAATAAGCCCATAGCTCCTATCCAAGTGGGTTTTCATCTGGGTGTGCACAAAATGCTGTTACAATTTGACCCTTTGTTGTGTATCGGAAATTTACTGTCTTATTTGAAAGGGAAATCATCTTTTGGAGAAAGAGGACCCTGAGAGCTGAAACTAGTCAGTGCCAGGTGCTGGCACGACGTCTTGTGCACACTAGGCTCTTAGAACGTATTTACCTCCTGTCCCTCCATTCTGCTCAGTTCACACTTGCTCCCAAATCACGCTTACATTCAGAGCTTTTAAAAACCACCAGTTTTATTCAAAGGTATATTTTCCAGAGCTGCGCTGGAGAAAACAAGTACTCTACATACAAAGCTAAAGCAAAAAAGAAAAAAAGTAAAAGAAAATAGTGGAGAGTAACAACACTGAAACTTGGCAGGTGCCATGAACTCACTGGGCTGATTTCTCTAGCAAATCAGTTTGAAATATGCTTCCAAAGCCTTGCTTCCAACATGGGTCCAGAGACTGCTGTTGCTAGTGATCAATGCATACCTCTTCCTTTTTATTGTTTACTTTTTGTAAATGTATATGTATTTTTATTGACGTCTAGTCAGTGTACAGTGTTGTGTCCGTTTCTGGTGTGCAGCACGATGCCCCAGTCATCCATGAACACGCATATATTCGCTTTCATGTTCTTTTTCACCACAAGTTACCACAAGATGTTGCATATAGTTCTCCGTGCCCTACAGTATGAACTTGTTCTTCTTTTTTTTATTATTATTGTCTTGCATCGAAAATGTCGGAAAGGTAATTGCAACAGACTGCTTTGAAGTGCAGCTGTAATTTACCCCACGATTTTAGAGTCACTTGAAGTGGGACAACCTCTGATGAATAGTCTTCTCTGCTTCGTATGAAGAGAAATTGAAACCAGTCTTAGCGGATACCCTGCTCCGTGTAGACGGGCTAAGAGTTATTAGAAACCCTTCACGGGTCTCCCTCTGACCACAATATTCATTACAAATCATGGACCTGCTTGGCAATGGGCTATGACATCTACTAGCTCTATGCAATATTTTAAGTGGAATGGCAGGTTGTTTTGTGATTTTTTTTAAAAAGGAGGAAGGGGGAAATTATATGGGGGCAGTGTTCACTTTTTGAAGAAAAATTTAATTGAGTCAAGGCAATATTTTTACTACATATACAAAATAACAAACAGATGCGGACTCATTTTGACTGGCTTCCAAATGCAGTGACCCCTGAGGTTAACACCGACCACAGGATTGCTAACTGTCCTGGTAAATAGAGTCACGAGATGCCAATCCAGCGGGTTCTGCTTTTCTTTAGTTTATTATTTTTCCCCCCAACTTGGAAAATCACAAAGTTTTTAAGCCCAGTTCCTGGGCTGGTTGCCTGTCCGCTCTCTTCCTGCAGTTTCCTTGCCCCCACTGCCCGCCTCCTACTAGCTGAAACTGTTAAACCTTCATGAAGATGCTTGGCTTCAAAAGATAGCTTTTTAGGAAGTAATTTCTGTAAAATCTTCTCTTTCTGAAGATTCTTGTTAGAAGTTTAAGGAAAATTATATTTCTCATGTCACCTCTTAGTCATAAAATTAAAATATTGTGTTTTTGCTGTCATCTTGAAGGAATGTTTGCTGGAGAGTTTGTTCCCATCACAAAAGACCCTTAGAAATTGTCTTGAGAACTCGGAGTCTTTCTGTCATTTCACACGGATGTTCGAAAGAGAGGAGATGTGCTAAACTGTACAAGAAAGACTTCACCCAATTCATGATCTCAGCTCAGCGTTTCCCAAACGTGGTCCCCACTGCCATGAGCAAACAGACCGGGCAGAGGAGTTCGCTGGCAGCCTGAATGTGAAAGACAGACTTTCTATATTTTAAGGCTGATCTTTTTAAAAATAATCAAGTGTCTCAATAAGGAGTTCTGAAGAGTATTCCTTAGAGCTTCATTCCCAGAAATGTCATCTCAGTGTCCCTTGGCGTGTTGGCTATGAGCATGTGAGCAGAACGTGGAGCCTCCGAGGTTCTGTTGAGGATAAATGCACCACCAACCTCTTGCCTTCTAGAGAAGATTTGATTTATAGAGGCAGTCTACACATGTTTTGTCTTCAGAATACACCTTAGCTTTGAGACGCTTAACCTCTTAGAGTTTCTTAGATGCAGAAGGGGCTTCACTCCATGACTGAATTTTTTCACACTGTTGTGCCTGCCAAATGGCCCAAACGTCTTGCTTACACACCTTCAGGGAACTCACCCAGACTGCATCTTCCCAGAAATCCCCACAAAGTTGTTTCTTTGTACTGAAATAAAACATGGTCACCATAAGTTGCATGCACTGGCAGCACTGTCACTCTTGAAGCCAGTACCAATCTTACATGTCTCCTTCTTGAGAACACAAATATTTGAAGAGAAGTGTCTTGTCCTGTCCTGTCTTATCCAAGCCATCACTCCCATCATGCTAAACACTTTCCATAGGACATCGTTTTCAGACACTCCATCAGCTGCCTGCTGGCTCTGGACTCAATTTGCTTATCTGGCTCCTCAATGTAGCTGGCGGTGCAGTGACACAGGACTGTAACCTTCCTCATTCTAGGTAACGTTCTTCTATTTTGCAGCCTGATATCGGATTGACCTCTCAGCAGCCATGTTCTGTGATCACTCTGAGCTGTTCTCACTCATGGTGCCCCAGACCTCTGCGTCTTCCACCCTAAACTGGTGAGGTCTATTTAGACACAAATGGCTTTTATTTATTCTCAATCAAATTCTTCTTGTTGTATTCTGCCAACCATTAAAACCTGGATTATTTTTCATCCGTATCTGTCATCCCTCTTCATGACTTATCAACAACACATACGAGAATCATTCTTCCCATGTCCACAGACAAGTCATATATGGCGTTGGGTGTTTCGAAAATCATGCAGTCAATCACATGCTCTGACTGCCTGCTCGTGATTTCTGAAGAACAGGCTTGCTACTGGAGAGTCGAGCAGCTGAGAATAAAAACCAGCTCTGTGTTCTGTCTTTTCATCTGGATCCACAAAGTGACGCTGCAGGCATCGTGGGATGACCAGTGGGGACCCGCCACCCCTGAGGCAGAGTGACTCTGTGCATGTTCTCAAACCTCAGGAACTTCAAGAGCCACATTCTCCTATTAAAGCATTTTATCTCATGCGAAACTGCTGCCACGCATCAGAGATGTTCGCCTCTTCAAACGGATTGGTACGCCTAGCAGTGCGCTTTGAAAGCTACCTGTAGTTGCCTGGAGCAGGCGGTCTCCAAATGCAGATTCCAAATATAACGTGCCTGTCAGAATCAAGGCAGGATTCTGAAAATGTAGCCTTTGATGCGGGAGGTCATCAAAAACACAGATGGCAGCCTAAGCGAGTTTCACTGCAGTTCGGCTGAACTAAAACACGTCTTACCTGTGCTCAGTCCTCAGTGGAACCAGAGGGCGGCCCTTAAAACACGCTGGGGTACGACTCGTTTTTTCTGGCTGGGATTGGGATGTAAAGCCTTGAAGATGAAAGTATCGTTCAGACGATGCTCTTGTCAAGCTCTTGGGTGATTTCCAGATTGCAAAATCCAGCGGTCAATTTTCAGGCCTCATCCTACGTGACCTCTCGCAACAGTCCCCACAGCTGGATACTCCCTCTTCCTGAGAGTTCTTTCCTCACGAGGGTTGTGGGACATCCCTCTCTCTGGGTTCTCTTTCCATCTTACTCCTGTGTTGTCTCCTTTACCTCTGAATGGTTCCTGGACCTCTCCTCCTCTCTCTCTCCATTCACTCTCTTGGTGCTCTCCTCCGACCTTACGGCGTTAAATGCCATATTTACACGGAAAAATCCAAAATGACTATGGCCAGCCCGGAACGTCTCCCCCGAACCGCTCTGTCTGCTACTTACTGGGCGTTGCCATCGGGAGAGCTAATAGGGTGTCTCAGATTTGACATGGACTCCCGCCTTCCCCCCAGACCTGCTCCTCCTGCGTTCTTCTCCATCTCGGCGAATGGAAACGCAGCGTTTCTGGTTACTTGGACCAAAAACCTTGGAGACAAACTTGCCCCAGAATATCGTGTTGGTTCTACCAAAACATTTCTGAAATCTGACCACCTCCCTCCATCTTCACCATTACCACTGACCCAAGCCACCATCATTTCTCTCTTGAACTTCTGCAATAATATCTCTATTTTCTTCAGGGTTTTGCTCAAATGTTACCTTCTGGACAGTTCCTCCCTGACTAGTCCGCTTAAAAACGACAGCTGCGCTCCCACCCCCAGCTCTCCTCGCCCCCTTCTCTGCCTGACTGACTTTCTGTCAGAGAATCTGCCTCCGCCTGACATACTGTATACTTTGCTTCTTTACCCGGGTCTGGCCTGTTCTTCACCAACTAGAATCTCAGCTCTAGGAGAGCAAGTACTCTGCTCCTACCACCTCATCAGTGCTTTGGGAGGTCAGCGTTCATTTTCATACTTCTCCAGTTTTCATGTCATGCCGCACGTCGGTAGTGTTGCCATGTCACCACATCACAAACTTCTCTGATCCCAGGAAACGCTGGGTGGGTTCAGCACTCCGCTCTGCCCTAGTCCCCTGTCCCCAAGCCTCTCCTCCCCCCAGGACCACCGAAGGAACAGTCCTTGTCGTCCCTTGTTCAGCTGCCTTGCCTCTCACGACTATTATCCCAGAAGAGGATCTGCAGATCTAACGCTTGATTTCTGTCCTTTACGAGGAATGATGAGGTTTACACCATTCGCTTGAGCACAGCCCCAAGCAGGAAAGATGACGCCTGCTTGACTCGTCGGCTTCCAGGTGTTGCAGGAAGAGCTCTGGCCCCCAAATTTCTCCAAACCAAGTTGCAGTACAGTCGTCTCTGATATTCCACCTTAAGCGCCACCTTTTTAGGGCAATTTAATAGAGGTTCAAAAGTTTATCTGTGCAGAAATCTTCTCTTTCTCTTTCGTGATCAGTGGACCTCACCTATAAGCTATAAACCAAAATCTCGTTGTTTTCAGAATAAAGTAAATCCCGAAGTTCGGAAAGTCAGGCCAAACTGTCATTCTATTGAATAAGCCTGTCCTGGACTTTCAAAAATATGGATGTACTTGTGTGTGTGTGTGTATATGTGTGTGCATATATATATATGTATATATATTTCACCTCTTGCTGCTGTTTATTTGCGAGTCTTATGGTGTTTCTCTTTTGTTTCTCCTCCTGTATTTTGATACTAAAGAGTACGTGGCAGGCAGATTTGGCCAAGATGACTCCACTGGATACGCCGCTTTTCATCTGGACGAGACTTACGGAGAGGACGTCACCCTCTCCATGTTTGTTCGAACACACCGCCCGTCTGGCTTACTTCTCATTGTGGGTCACAGCGCTTACCGACACCTCCGTGTCTGGCTGGAACGTGGCCGACTAGCTATGCTGACTCCGAGTTCTTCCAAATTATTAACAAAATTTGTTCTCAGCGATGGAAATGTCCACTTGATATCTTTGAAAATCAAGCCAAATAAAATTGAGCTGTATCAGTTGTCACAAAACCTAGGATTTATTTCTGCTCCTACATGGAAATTCCAAAGCGGAGATGTCCTCTATATTGGTGGCCTGCCTGACAGACAAGAGACTGAAGTTAACGGTGGCTTCTTCAAAGGCTGTATTCAAGATATAAGATTAAACAACGAAAGCCTGGAGTTCTTCCCAAATTCAACGAGCAAGGCAGCCCACAGTGCAGTTCTTGTCAACGTGACCCAAGGCTGTCCTGGGGACAACGTGTGTGAGGTAGGGTTATTCATACCAGCCATGTCCATATTGTGTGCCAAGGCTGCACTTCATTAAACAGATCATTTGTTGTAACTGTTCTTTGTATGTGACGGTGATGTCACTGACCCACCAGCCACAGAATAATTCTGCATCAGTATTTTCCTGGCAAGTCTGGGGGATTTATGCTGAGCCGTAAAAATAAAACCTTGACCTTGTTGTCATCATGGTCTGTTTAACCAACCAAGAGATCTACACATTCTACATAACAACGGAATTACTTAAGAATAATCATATTTTAATTCCCAAATCCCAGAGGTTTCACTGAATGAACTCATTTTGAAAGATACCGTTAACTTTACCTTAAGTGCCCAATGACCATTGTTCTGAACATGTATTAATAAGAAAAAAAAATCTGAAAGGCATCTTCTTTCTGGGAGTTGGATTTGAAATAATCTCTCTGAAATGTAATTACTCAGAGCCCATGCTTTACTTTATATTTTGTGTGCACGTCTAAAATCTACTTCAATATGTGAATTTGTTGGCATGACCTTTCAAAGGAAGAGAAGGAAATGCATTTATATCTGTTGAGCACTTACTGAGCTCTGACTGTCGTCACGCACTGGGCTCACTTCTAAATAAACAGAAATGGGTCATTGTGGCGTTACTACGGGGGCACCACCAGCGTGCCAGGGACTATTTCACACGGATCCGTCCGTCGCATTGTGTAGAAGGACTCCCGTGCAAAGCAGGCATCGTCATCATCTCCGTGTATGTTAATTACCGATACGGAGACTGGCGTTCAGGAAGGTTGTGTCCCTAGATCACGTGGTGACAGGGGAACAGGATGACTACAGACTGAGCTCTCAGAAAGTCCTTCTTAAATACTTTCATTTGGAAGACTTTGTGAGAAACCTTGGGTGAAGTCAAATTATAATAATCTGTTTCTGATTCAGAGGCAGAGAAAAACGGGGGCGGGGGGTCACTGTATGGGGACCCACAGGATCCAAGTCCCACGCTGCCCTCTTTGACTTTTGCTTGATCTCAGACAACAAGAGGGACCTCAGCTTCCTCGTCAGTAAAAAGCAGGAGTAATAATCTCCAACTTAAATGGTCATCAGTGTCATTGAAAGGGTCTGGTAGCCTGTGAATTACAGAGAGTATTACTACATCTTTTACAACACCGTATAAAGTTGTGTCATAGGAGATCGATGTCACGTGTTTTCCTTTCTTTCTCATTTCCTCCCTCCCGATGGTCGCAGCGCGTCTTTACTAACCAGTGAGCATACAGAGGCGGAGATGTGAACATGCAGGCAGTCAGCATTAGGAGATGTGGGTCTTGCCTTGACTGCTCCCCGTCTGTAGCTGCCAGTGCTTTTTACGCCTTTGATTTGTTTCCGGCTCAGCCCAACCCCTGTTACAACGGAGGCGTCTGCTACGCCCTGTGGGACGACTTCTCCTGTGCCTGCCCCGCCAACACAGCTGGGAAGACCTGCCAGGACGTGCGCTGGTGCGAGCTCGGCCCGTGTCCCCCCGGCGCCCGGTGCCAGCAGGTGCCTGGAGGATTTGAATGTAGGTGGAGTTCAGACGTGTCACCCACCCAGTTAAGCTGGCATTTCACGTGTCCTATGACTCAACCCAGAAAACGAATACAGACAAATTCCGCTCACCAGATGGGTGGCTTCTCCCAGAGCGAGTGGCAGTGGAGCAGACCAAACAGGAGTTTGATGAACCAGAGGCGCCTGGGCCTTGCCCTGCCCCTGGGCATCGGGGTGGGAGGTGGAGTCAGAGCGCCACCAGACCGAGATCCTCGATCACTTAAGGCGACTTTGGGAAGACAGAATTAACCGGGTGATATTTGGCTCTGCTTTTCTCGTTGCTGGCAGCACGGAATAAAGGTGCCAGCGTGAGCTCGTGGCCAAGGGCCACCTGGGAGGCAGCGTCTCCGTAGTCTTAGGCTTCCTCTGTAGCATAAGGATGGAAGATACATCCGTGTGTGTGTGTGATGACGACATGACCTCGTGTGTACAGAGCCAAACGCATCAGGCCCTCAGTTAATGCTTGTCAGCAGTATTTCCCTCAATCTGAACGACTTTCCTGCCCAGATCCAGTACTACCGAGCGCAAATTCCCCCATGTAAGCAATTTAAACCCTGTCTTCACAATTTTGACCTATCTGCGTACTAGCCACACTTTTACTTGTGTTCTGTCTTTTCTCCTACTTCAAATAATGCAGAGTTCAGTCTGCAGGCAACCATCGGTGTTTGCACTCATTTTTAATTTCTTCTCCTTGTTCAAAGATTTTGCTTCCAAAATTTTTCTCTCCCTTGCCAGCATCATCAGTTTCTCCATCAGCCTGTAAACAGACTGACAATTTCTCGTTACAGGCTTTTTCCCTTGACACCCCACCCCACCCCACCCCCTCTAGCCACCACCCATGCTCCTGTGCCCTTTATAGTGGGAGAAACCCTCTAAGAGTCGTCCTCAATATGCATCGATGTCTTACTCTGTCCTTTATTCTGCCCCATCGGTCAGGCTCCCAGGCACCCCAGAATCCTCTCAACCCAGAGCTTCACCAGCAGCCTTCATCACTTCATTCTGTTTTCTACCGAGATGTCCTCTTGCCTGCCTTCCTTTTCCTTCGTGTCTCTTACCATCCCTGGATGTCTGTTATACGCGTGTTTGTTCACTTGGTCGCCACCTTTTCCTCAATTGAATATGAGTTCCCAAAGGGGAGGACGTTTTCTATTTGGCTTCTCACGTTACTCTTGGCGCTTACAATGGTGCCAAACATACAGGAAGTTGTCAGTAAATGCTTCTTAAATGAATCATTTTTTCCTTCAATTTAACTCAGTATTTTTACTTAACTGCTCTAGAATTTAAGTACATTATCTGCATACATTTTTTTCAGAAAAGTGCATAAGATACCTTGGAAAGCATTGCACTAAATTAGCGGACTAGAGTGAGAGGATTGACTGACCTCAGGCCAGTATCAGCAACGTCCTATTTGGACTGAGTCCCAAAGTGACTGAGGACAAGAATGTATTTACTTTTATGTTTCTGCAGTTTAAAATCATATGTCAAAGTGGTATGTGAAATGTAATGCACCATGTGTATACTTGGGGAAGGTTTTTAGAAGCATATATACACTCTTATATTTCATATTTAGGAAACAATATGCTACACACGTGTATAAAGCACAATGAATTGGTGTAAAGGATGAGATCGGGTCTCTGAAATGGCACAAAACTTCAAGTGCAGCCTTTTCCGTTGCTCTACTTCTGAATGGTTTGCTTAAAATAGTTTGCTGGTTAATAATTTTATTGTTAACCTTTGGGCAGCACTGAAGTTGTTAGTCCCAGTTATGTTCTGCAGAAGGGTTTAAATCATTTTGAACGTTTTCACAGGGGAAAAGGAGGAGGGTTTCTAGGAACAGTGGCAGTCTGGGGACCATCCCACTGGTAGACTCTGTTCTTGGGGTCCGCATCAAGGATGCGGGTGTCCCATGTCAGAAAGGCGTGGGTGACTCTTCTCTGCCACTGGGCTGCCACCACAGAAAGAGGAGAAAGCTCACCTCTGACCTTTCCAAAGGTCTCAATAACATTTGGTTAAGTACAACTTATCTTAAGGGAGACGATGTAAACCGATAGGATACCATCAGAATGTTAGGATTTCAATGGAGAAGACATGCATGGCTTGGATTTTGGTATGAGACCATCCAGGTTTGATATCCTGGCTTTTTTATCTATTAGGCACGTGACCAGGAGAAAATGACTTCACTTCTGTGAGTCTCAGTTTCCTCTTCTATAAAGCTGAGATTATTATAACCACAGTAAAGCTGTATTCAGGAACTCTGTACATGAAATAATACAAAAGCAAGCAATACAGTGCCTGGCCCGCGTCAGGCAACACGTGGTGCTCGCTAACCCCAATGGAGGTGATTAAGCAAGCATTCCAGATCTAATCAAGGTACTGTTTGGTACTGCTTTCTCTTTTCAGGTACTGCAAATGCTGTTTTTAATGGGCAAAGCAGCGAAATAGTATTCAGGAGCAACGGGAATATTACCAGAGAACTCACCAACATCACATTCGGTTTCAGAACAAGGGTTGCAAATGCGGAGATCCTGCACGCCGAGAAGGAGCCTGAATTCCTTAACGTTAGCATTCGCGATTCCCGCTTATTATTTCAGTTGCAAAGCGGCAATAGTTTTTACAGGCTGAGTCTGACGAGCTCACAGTCTGTGGATGATGGCGTGTGGCACCAGGTGACTCTCTCCATGACTGACCCACTGGCCCAGGCTTCCAGGTGGCAAATGGAAATGGACCACCAAACACCTCCGGTGACCAGCGTGGTCGCCACTGGGAGCCTCAGCTTCCTGAAGGAGGACGTGGACATCTGTGTGGGGGGCCGAGCGGACGGCCCCGTGCAGGGCCTGCAGGGCTGTCTAAGCACAATAGTGGTTGGTGGCGTTCACCTCTCTTACTTCGAAAACGTCCGGGGTTTCCTTAATAAGCCTCAGGAGGAGCAGTTTCTCAAAGTCTCGGTAAATACAGTGGCCACTGGCTGTTTGCAGTTAAACGCCTGCAAGTCCAACCCCTGCTTGCACGGAGGACACTGTGAGGACACGTACAGCTCTCATCACTGCGCCTGTCCTGAGGGATGGTCAGGGCCCCGCTGTGAACGCGACATTGATGAATGTCTTTCAGACCCCTGTATCCACGGCAACTGCTCGGACAGGGTAGCAGCCTATCACTGCAGGTGTGAGCCTGGATACACCGGTGTGAACTGCGAGGCGGGCGTGGACCACTGCCAGAGTCACCAGTGTGCCAGCGGGGCCACCTGCATCAGCCATGCCAAGGGCTACTCCTGCCGCTGTCCTGGAAATTTCACGGGGAAATTTTGCAGGTGAGTGTAGCGGCCACATCCAGCCTGGTCTTTGGAGCTATTTGTTGCATCTTCAGACTGGCTGGCTCTCTCCCCAGGTGTGCACGTAGAGGCTGGGCTGGCGGGAGTGACATTGGTCACATCTATCATGATTTGGTCCTGTGAGGACAGGACCTTACCTGCTGGCATGTTCTACAAAGAAGAAAGGGAGGGTTTTAAGCAGGCTTTAAGCAGAATGTTTTCTCTGTCGACTCTATCCAAATATGTCTCAGGAACTACAGCCCCAGAGTCTGACAGCCTTATGGCCTCAGGAAACAGACACATTTTCCATAAATGCAAGAGCTGAATTTTAGAATTGCTGGGGGAAGCCTGACCCCTAAAACAATGCCCTTGATGATTTCAGGCAGCCTAACTTAGACAATTCTGAAAAGACTGTCTTAAAGTATAATTTCAAAAAGGCAAAGTCACGACGCTCAGACAAATAAAAAATGGTTTTATTTCTTGTTAATGAGGGAACCAATAAGATATAAAAATCAAAATTGTGAAGGACAATCTAATTATATATAAAATATACACATATAGAAATAGATTTGTAGATAGGGATGAGGAAATGAATTTAGCAATAAATGCATAACTGGTATCTTGTAGGGCAACAAAATTAGTACTTGAAGCCATCTTTTCTATAGTGTGACAACTGATTGTATCATTACAGGCTTATTTACATTTCGTTGAACAAGATCCATTTGTATTACTATAATTTTCTATAACTTACAGAGTTATAAAATAGCTTGGTAAAGAAAATCTGAGGAGGGGGAGTGTATAGCTCAGTGGTAGAGCACATGCTTAGCAAGCATGAGGTCCTGAGTTCAATCCCCAATACCTCCATTAAAAAAAAATAAATAAATAAACCTAATCTCTTCCCCCACCAAAAAAACCTTGTTTTTAAAAGGGGGAGGAGGGTGCACGTCAGCCATAGAGGATGTGCTTTGCTAGCTTGCAAGAGGTCCTGGGTTCAATTTTATTAAAAAAATAAAAAAGTAAATAAATAAACCTAATTATCTCCTCCCCCCAAAAAAAGATTAAAAAAAAAAAGAAAATCTAAAGCATACACGTTAGAAAATCCGATAATTTAGACTGTCCTTTATATAAACACAGCATTCCATTCAAAAAGAGCCCAGTGATCTCTTTTGCCCATTTCAAAGCATTTCAGAATTTTTTTCCCCTAAAACTATAAAAGCAGTATTTTAGTTCTGGTAATCACCCCATTTCATGTTATGTAAACAGAAATAAGGATGGAGGTTTTCCTGCTAAGTCACATGGCTTTAATATTTCCACGTAAGTAGAACCCATTGCTGTCTTCCTAACTTAGAGTTATTTTAAATTCACTGAACAACTGAGTTGTTATAGGGGCGTGGGAGGGTAGTTTCTAACAAGGAATGCGTCCCGGGGCCTTGACCAGAGCGCTTGGCGTGGGCGGCCTCCTGCAGACACTGCGCTGATTCAGAGGCGGTCCCGTAACTGGATGAATCTCCGAGCAGACAGAATGTGGAGGCATCCCCATGAGCAGATGCTTTTGTCTCCCTAATAATTCATTCTTGCTCAGAGCCTAGGAAGGCGTGACACCAGGCTAGGTGCTGAGTGCTGACATTCCAATAAAACGTCACCTCTCACAAGTTAACTGACTCATTTGCCAACAGGTAAACTGCTTGTTTGAAAGCAAACGACATTCAGGATCCAAATTAATAATAGCGCTGCCATGGCGACTTTGGATAAGTAACATAAACACAGATGCCCCAGTAACCAGTTCTCCCATATTTTTTTCTGCCTAATTCTTAAAAGTCAAGTTCTCCAAGATTAAAGTTCTCAAAAGTACTTTCTATTGAGATTTAAACATTGTTGACTACACGTAGATGTATAGGAAACGTCCCTATTTGAGTTGCTAATTACCCTCTTTCAAAACCAGTTGACACTTTGGGCTCCTCTGAAAACTCCTTTTTCAAGTCGAATTGATTAGCTCTTACGGGAAGAGACACATTTAAACATCTTGTAGTCTGGTTTCTCCATCTTAGCACACACGGCAGGACAAAATTAAATTCATCTTCTGTTTCCTGAATATTAACTATGTATCCAGCTCCACCCACACCATGCCCAGTGGGTCCAAGGACCTGCACCATGCCTGAAAATCTTTTTAATCAGTCCCCTTACACCGCTGGATTTTATCTACCAATAAAGTTCTGCTTAGCTTCTAACAAGTTGTTCCACCTTTTATAAGGATTCCTTAATATATACAGCTTAGTGATTACACAGGAGAGCCACTCTCTGAATTCACATGTAGTTAGCTCTGAGTGCATCTGCTAAACCCCCGGGCAGCATTTGGCTTGCGTTCTGCTAAGCGATGAATTACTAAATGCGGGCAGCGAGGAAACTGGATTCAGCTCTGAAAGGCCACAGAAATCCCACGGGTGCTCGGGTGCCAGAGTGCCGGCCTGTCCTTCCTGGCCCGCAGAGAGATGCACTTTTCCTACGGCCCGTGTTGATTATCAGCAAAGCAGCAGCAAATCCAGCAAGTTTCTATCCAGCCCTGAGTGTACCGCCCACCGCCGGGCGTAGGTCTTATGTCCGGATGAACACCGTGTAGAGATGGAAGATGGTTAGCGGGGCTCGTGGCAGCGCCCCCCGCAGGCGCCGAGCCGCGAGAAGGCGATTCCTGCCTTTCACAGCACAGGTTCGCGTGTGGGGCTCAGCCGGCCCGAGTCCCTATTCCCGCGTCAGGCAGGGGCTAGACACGTGAGCTTTTCTGGGATGAGATGAGCAAGGTGTTGCTTCGATCTCCCTAGACACACCCGGCTACCCTCCGCCGTCTGTGGGAACGAGAGGACCAACTTCACCTGCTACAGCGGGGGCAACTGCACGGAGGCCCAGGGTGAACCGCGGTGTGTGTGCGCGCCAGGCTTCGCTGGGCAATGGTGAGTCACCTCAGAGCTTTTCTGGGGGAAAATTCTGGTCTGAAGAACTGCGAGAGTACACAAAGTTTATTTCTCTAATTTTTCATCTCAGTTCCCACAGGAAAATCTGCTGAAATAACGGTCTGGCCAGAGTCAAACAATAAAAAAGAAGAAAAATGACAGTTTAGGTCAAAGTCAGGAACACTTTATTAGCCAAGACTTTAACTAGAGGAATATGTCTTTGAAAAATGTGAAATGTGATATTTTTCTGTCTTAGGAGTACTTTTGGATTCGTGTTTCTGTCCCACTAACTCTAATACATGATTCAAATGTGGTTGTTCTTGAAGTAAAATAAAATATACCTTAAAGATCGTGCCTTAGAATTACCTAGACCCCTGAAAGTGTATGCACCTGATCCAGGTGAGTTTACCTTTCCCAGAGAAACCCTTCAACTCCACCTGATGCCAGAATTGTTGATGTGGGGTTGGTCACTGGCTTCAGACAATCTGTGACCTGCTGGAAATGCGGGCAAGTTTGGACATGCATTTGACTGGCTGAAGTGAGGTCAAGGGTGAAAAGCTACATCCTCCATAGCTTTGATCAGATTTCCCAAGGGACCAGTGTCCCCAGAATGGTGACAGACCAGGGTGCTAAAGATAGAGATACTTTAAAAGCAGATAAATAATTAACCACTTGTCAAGCACTGTGCCAGGCACCTTATATATTCTCACTGTTGTCATTTCCCTCTCGCGTGTGTGCACCCAGAAGCAGAGAGGGTCAGTGGCAGGCCAGGTGCCAGTCCAGGCATGGCTGCAGCAAGGCTGTCTGCCTTCGGAGCCTCCGCTCACCTGGTGGACGTGCCGGCGCAAGTGTGTGACTTGAAAGAAAAGAGAAAGTTCTCCTCCACTTAGTGTACCATCCAGGGCAGGACGTGTTGATCTGTGATCAAACATCCTCCACTGAATAAATTAGATCAAATCCAATGCATTGGACAAAGAGATTCAGACTGATTTTTCCCAGGAGAGTAGTTAATAAAATAATGGTATATTTTTGCACCATGACAGTTACAGTTTGGATTAATTTGAATGTCCTCATTTCAGCCGGTTTCCTGGGCTTCACACATACAGCTCTTCTGCCATTTTTACAAAACTACAGGGAGCCTTACATTGCATTTCCCCCTCTCAACACTCAGTGACGAGTCTAGCTCTTGTTTTCACAGTCTGCTTGCAGTGGTTGGCTCTAAGCGGCACGGGCAGTCCCTGCAGAGATGTGCACGGAGGGATGGAGCCTTGCTCCCCAGGTTTTTCATGCACCACGTTATTAACCCAGAGACTGTTCCGTTGGCCTCCAGTTCCATACGCCTCGGAAATATTGCAAAGACTTTCTTGCCCTAAAATTTGGACAATGCTCTAACTATATGTGTAAGTGCTGGTTACTTCCTGCCTCAATGGCACAGTTTAATGCTTAATGTCACATTTAAAGGCGCAATGCACAGAGCTCATTCAAAGCTTTGGATGACTTCTCTCCACTGCTCACACATTGTTCCTATTTACAACAAACGTTTCCCTTTCCTCCAACGTTTATTTAAAAAAAAACATATCTGGCATTTAAATTCAAATTGTCGATTTGAAATGGGGTAAGAAGAGGAAGCTCACTGTGTTCCTTCCTCTCCCAGGAGACTTCATTTGGATAAACGCTGCTGAAAAAAGGATTGTTAAAGTAGTGAACATGTGTTCAAGGGATTTTATGCTTTCGAAGTCCTTCTCCATCATTAGTCAATCCCCTGGATGCTGACGGATGTATTTTGACCTGATTTTCTACCTATTAAATAACCTCTACTGAAAGCTCCAGTAATGTTCATAACGATATGTGTGTATATTGTGCAGTTTAGTTTGAAAGAGAAATAGATAAGAAACAGAGAAAGAACAGCTAGAGGAAAACTGAGAAATACTGGGCAGTCTCCCAAGGCCGAGGGGGATGTGCGTTCCATGAAGTCCAAAGACGCTGAAAAGCTGTTCTCTGACAAAGTGCCTTCTCTTCCGTTGGGGTAGCCCTCCAAGTCCAGCCTGTCGCCCTGCAGGTTGCACGTGATGGATGGTGTGAACACGCTGGCCCACCCGGGACAGGGAGTACTTGGCAGGTTCCCTCGAATTGTCAAGTTCTGCTCAGATCTAATCAGAGTCTCCTTCCAGCCCAGAAGCCTGAGCCAAAAAACGGAAAACAAAATGTCTCAGCTATGCTTGGTATCCAGCGGGATAAGAAGCTGTTTTTCTGGGAAGAAATCTTTTCTTCCTTTTGGCTCGGGTGGGCCCTGCCCCACCCACCCCCTCATCCTCTCTCAGTGTGAGCCCAGGGATTTTTGGACCACCCAGGCGGGCGCATTTACCTTTTAGGAAGTGGGGAATGAAAAAGCCTTCACATTAGACTTCAACCTTGTGGCTCTGTAGAGATTCTTGAAGCCAAGATTTTCTACAAATTCGTCAAAGTAAGAGAGATGTCCTGGTTCCCGCTCTCTCCCAAGGCCTCGCAGGGTGCCCCACACTCGGCAGGTGTAAATGAACACCCTCTGAGGGAGTGATGGGGAGCCGGTCAGTGAAGGTACCAAAGGACAAGTAGTTGATGCAAAATTCGGTGAAAACATGACAGTGTCCCAGGGAAGAGGAAAATAGCAGTTCACCTTGGAATTGCTATCACTTGTTTTGGCAATTTTGGCTTTTGGAAGTCATCCTACCCAAATATGAAAAATTACCCTTAGCTAGGAAGCCAGCTGATTAGCAAGTGAAATCTCGTTATTTACTTCCACGTTTTTGTTTAAACGTGGGATTCCCACGGAAGTTAATCCAAAATCTCCCCGAATAAACCAAATGTATTTTTCCTGTTTGGGAGGCACTGGTGCCTCAGAACCCTCACAGCTGGAGCGGAGGTCTGCTCTGCGGACACTCAGTTGAAAAACACAGCTCACCCTCGTGGTTTCCGTGCACCCCAATAAACTGAGCATTTGTAAGGTGACAAAGACACTGACACTCTTGAGGGAGAAACTGACCTCAGCGTGGCCCCGTTTTCTCTTGGTGTCTAAATACTTGCCCCTGTGTTCTCATTCCGATGAATTGTGCATGCGTAGGTGTGTGTGTGTCTGTGGGAGGCAGGTGTACAAATTATTTCCGTTAAAACCAAAGCTGGTTAAAGGAACTGAGAGGCACGCGCCCACGTTATGAGAATAGACCGAGACAAGGGGGTGCTCTAGGGACGCACGGCAGGTGTTGCCTTTCCCCGTTCCTGTCGCGGCCAGTTTGTTGATGTGGCGCCCGGGCTTCTGCTGTCTCTGTTTATTTTCAAGGTGTGAAGAGGACGTTGACGAGTGTGCCTCCAATCCCTGCCTCCACGGGGGCCTGTGTCGCGACCTGCTGGACAGGTTCCAGTGCGTGTGCGACGTGGCCTTCACCGGCCCGCGCTGTGAGATGGACGTAAGCAGCCTCTCCTTCTACGTGTCCCTCCTGCTCTGGCAAAACCTCTTCCAGCTTCTCTCTTACCTCATTCTGCGCATGAATGACGAGCCCGTGGTTGAGTGGGGGGAGCAGGACGACTACTGACGTTCCTTTGAACGCCCCCCAACTTGAAAGCCATTGAATTTTGAGAAATGCCTTGAAATCAAAGGCATCTTGAAAATTAAAATCAAGGGCTGTTTTAAGCATCTCGAAAGCACTCTGTGAGTATATCAGGTATTTACCTATGACTGGCTTTAACTGTAAAAAACAGGCTGGTCTGCATACGAGCAGAAGCAGCTCCGGGTCGTGCATGTGCACAAATGGGCCGTCATTCTTCGCGCTTCCGAATCTGAATGACCCTGAGGTCAGAAACCGCTCCCCCTCCATCCTCGGGTGCACTTGCAGAGGGTAAGTGGCCCGAACTCATCCTGACCCTGCATTATTTATGCTCTTTTGTTCTCAACTATTATTCACGACGTGACAATCTGAAACTTACTGGTTCAACTTTTTATATCCAACTATGCTTTTCTACAAAGCTATTCAAATGAAGTGTTTGCCAGTCCTCTGGTAAATCAAAAAATATATGTGTATATAAAGAAAACATGGGAGATTATAGGAAGTCCCTCAGAGTGGAGGAGGAAAATGTTCTGATGTAATTGGTATCAATACTCAAGTTATACCTCACCAGTATAATTTACAATTCCTTAAAACCTTCTCTCTCCCCACCAAAAAATGGCAGATAAAACCTTTGTCCGTTCCTTTTCCTTGCAATACTTCTTACACAACTAGAATGACTTCTTGTTAATTGCTTATAAATTTAGGAGCCTTCTGACATTCCTATCAAATGCACTAATCTTAGTTGCTTTTCAAAGCATATTTAATAAAAAATAAGTACTAACGTATGTGTATACACTAAAATATAAGTTGTAAAACTTGAATTTCTTGGTGGCATATTTTTCTAAAATTTGCAAGTACATTTATCCTCTTCGGCTATCTTTCAGAAAAAAAGCACGGTACCTATTACAATCAAAATATATTTGACGTTATGATCTTTTAAAATAAATAACCTGAAATGATGGATCTACAAAGTAAATTAATTAATAAGATGCGCAAAGATTAATACATTCTTACTTAGCTTTAGTAGAGTGTATAACATAGTGATCAGAAAATAACTTTATTTGCTAATATTTTTATTGCTTCTACTGGCATGTTATCGCTTACACTAAATCTCTTTGTGTGGGTTTACCTTCCAAAGCAGGCGTTATGTGTGATCTTTTCAGGGAAAAAAGAATTAGAGCCTACGAATTAGCTTAGAAAGCAATTATAACAACAGAGGCTTGCCGAATACCATTTTGTAAACGTGTTTATGTCTTTAGGAGCTGCCCTGGTTTGATGATAGGAGGGTAATTTATCCATTGGGTGATATGCAAGATTCATTTAGTTCTAATTGTTTAAAGAAATTTGTTTTTCTGTGGAAACGGTCAAGGTAAATTTAAATACACCTTGCAAATCCAAAGACAAAACAATGTATCATAAAAGCAAAGGAAATAAATTCAGTTTTATTTTTCCATGGTCATAGAAGATTTTATGCGGCAAGTTTATATCCTGGGAGGACTGGCAATCATTTCAAACCAGGAGAATCTAATGTTGCAATCTTTATTTTACACTCACGCACTGCCCTCACACCAGACACAGCCCAGGCCCCACTGCCCCCTCAGGGGACCTGCCCCAAAGTTAGGTTCTGTGACAAGAGACTCGGGAAAGACCTCCCCACCAAAGTCTGCATTCCCAAATTATCTGACGTAAGCATAAAGCTGATGGCAGCCAAAGACCACAAGTACAGTTTTCACATTTGCCCCCTTTTGGACGTATCTGTAATTATAAACTTACAGGCCGTTCCAAATGTAATGTGTTCCCTTCCAAATACATTTAAGAGTCACTCACAGTCTCCTCCTCTGTATGCATTCTGATGCCTCTGTGGTCACTGTCACTGTCGATGGCTTTTCTGTTTTCCAGACGTCTTGTTGTGAGATATCCAACTTAAACACACTGTCCCTTTTCTCTGTCTTCTGTATTTTCAACTACATTGTGTGGCTTTTGTCCATGAGCACAGAAAAATAAAACCTTTGCTTCTGTCTCTCTGCTTCTCATCCTCTGATGACTGTCTTCATTCGCCTTGACTGTGTCTTGCAAGGTAAGATGCCCACAAGCCAGGCACACGCACTCACATGCACACGCACTCACACACACACGCACGCGTGCACACACACCGCATAATGACACAGGAGCACCTGTGCTGGCGGTCCTGAATCGTGGTCTCTTTCCCCAGATGTGTAATTGCAGGTAAACAGGTGGCCGTCCAAGGTCAAAGTTCTGTGGTGAGCACTCCTCCAGTTGGAATTCTAGAATTGATTACACCCTTAACTGTTTCTCACTACCGATTTCCGCCGTCCCCGCCAGCACCAGCCAGCTTCACCTGCTCGGGGGAGGGGCCATCTCACCTGACTCCTCTGGACCCAGCTTCTGAAACAAGACCTGTCTTAGTTGAATTAAATTTTGTTTTAAATTTTGCTCATTTTTAAGGTTGAACGTTTGAACTGAACAAGGCGATGTCCATTTCTGGCCATGCCTCCTCCTCCTTTGTGTGTGGACCCGGGGAGTGGTTTTTTATCATCCTCCTTTTGGGATAACCGGGAAGTAGAGGAAACAGGCAGGTTTGTAGAGATTCGTGTTTTGACAGCGTGAAAAGGCAGATTCAACGGACGCTGTTGAGAGCCTTCTCCGTGCCAGGGGCTGTGATAAGCCTGCTTTAAGTACACGTGTTTTTTCGATATAAGGCAATCAGTGTCTTCCAAATTCTTACCAAATTGTGTTTAAAGACCCCTCCCCCCCTTTTTTTTTTTGCCATATCTGAGTTTTAAAATGGCAGTTATTCAGCTTGAGTGAGGCAGAATTTAAGTGGAGCCTCCCCTGGAAACGCGCGGGAGTGTCGGGGCGTTCGGCAGGAGCGGCCGCAGACGCGGCGGCGGGGTAGGCGGACCGGAGGGGGTGGGGCAGAATGAGCCCGAGGCTGCGGAGGAAGCGGAGCGAGTCCTCGTAAGCCACGCCCACACCCGGGCTTTTCTCGCGAGAGCAGCGGAGGGTCTTCGGCGAGGTTCCAACAGAGAAGTGACATCACCAGGCTTGCACTTTTCTGGAAACGGTGATACATCAAATTTGAGTCCAGTGACTGAGGAAGAAATCCAGCGAAGAAACTAACGAAATTATTATGCACGTGGATTATTTCATTTCTCTACTGTACTTTTTTGATTTATTAAACAAATACCCAGTGAATACCTACCGTGTGTCATGCCCTGGACAAGACACTGAGAATAGAGCCGGAGATCAGAGGCAGCACTTGCCCACAAGTTGTGGGTCTCGTGGAGGATGCAGAGATGGCGAGTTCCTGGGTCAGCGTTAGGATGGAGCCAGGTGCCAGCTGTCCAGGGCGGACAGGAGGGCATTTTGCCCAGTCTTAAAGGTAGAAGGTCAAAGAAAGCCCCAAAGCCTCAGCTGAGACGCAAAGGTGAACAGGTCAGGGTGTGTCGGGGGTGTTTCAGCTCCTTTTTGTCCAAATTCTCACCCATGCTTGCTATTTGTTGAGTTTTTGATGATGGCCATTCTGACAGGTGTGAGGTAATTTCTCATTGTTTCTCGTCTAATTTCTGATTTTTGACTTTAATCTCCTGGATGATTAGTGATGCTGAGCATCTTTTCATGTGTCTTTTAACCATTTGTGCGTCTTCTTGGGAAAAATGTCTATTCAGATCCTCTGCCCATTTCTTAATTGGATTGTTTGGGTTTTTTTCTAGTGAGCTGTATGAGTTCTTTATATATTTTGGATATTAGTCCCTTATCAGATATATGATTTACAAATACATTCTCCTCTTCTGTAGGCTGCCTTTTCAATTTGTTGATGATTTCCTTTGCTGTTCAGAAGCTTTGAGTTTGAAATAGTCCCACTTGCTTACTTTTGCTTTTGCTGCCTTTGCTTGGTTTCAAATCCAAAAAATCAGTGCCAAGACCGATGTCATGGAGCTTAACCCCTATGTTTTTTTCTAGAAGGTTTACAGTTTTACAGCTTCAGGTTATATATTCAAGTCTTTAATCCAATTTGAGTTGATTTAATCCAATTTGGTGTAAGATAGGGGTCCAGTTTCATTCTCTGGCATGGAGCTGTCCAGTTTTCCCACCACCATTTATTGAAGAGATTATCCTTTCTCGATGGTATATTTTTGCTTCCATTGTCATAAATTAATTGACCATATATGTGCAAGTTTTTTTTCCTGAGCTCTCTTTTTTGTTCCATTGATCTATGTGCCTGTTTTTATGGCAATACTATACTGTTTGGATTACTATAGCTTTGTCAGATAGTTTGAAATCAAGAAGTGTCATGCCTCCAGCTTTGTTCTTCATTTTTAATATTGCTTTGGCTATTAAAGTGGCTCCATCCAAATTTTAATACTGCTTTTACAACTTATGAGAAATCCTGAAAGGTTCATCTGTAGAAGCTACATTGTCATTACTAGAAGCAGAAACTCTCACTTTAAGTAGGTACCCTTAGACTGCAGTAACATAAGCATTTGGTCCCAGAAGAAGGGACGTTGTTTTTCTTTTGACTTCTGTACTGACCGGGTACTTGAGAAGAGCAGTTTTTACTTCTGGGCACCACATTCAAAGGAAAACATGGATGACTTCCAGGCCCAGAGAAGGGCATTTTAGAAACAGTTTAAGGATAGTGGATGTTTTCTCAAGAAAGAGAAGACCTAAGGAAAGTGTGAAAATGCCTTCAGATGTTTCCTATGTGTGTTATTCTTTTTGATGCTATCACACAAAGGATTGTTTTCATAATTTTCTTTTCCAGTTGTTCACTGTTAGTGTATACAAAGTCAACTGATTTTTGTGTGTTGATTTTATATCCTCCAACTTTGCTGAATTTG